ATGGTTAGGCTCACAGTTTGTAATGATATTTATATGGTTATTTGGAATGCCTGCCTCCCATATTCAACGAAGATTGTTTCTGCATTGCTTATTATTTTATTATCAGAGCCTGGCAATTAGTAGATACTAAGTAAGTATTTGTTGAATGAATGAATGAATGAATGAATGAATGAATGAATGAATGAATGAATTCATGTCCCAGCTCAAATCCCATCCTCTTTAAATGGACATTTCTAACCTCTCCAGCCACAGTGATAAATCCCTCTCCTGAATTTGAGGCATTTTTTTGTTGGTACCATCCATTTATCCATGGAATCGTAGATTCATAGAATTCAATAGGAGTTTAAAGGTAGCAAGCTTTATATTGTAAATGATGTAATTCATTGAAATACAATTCTTGGTTTTACTTTTGTGTATATCGTTAGTAATGGGAAGTTGCCTTCTGAAGTGTCCTGAACCATCCTTGGACTATTCGTAGTTTTAGACATTTTTTCTGATGTTTAGCAAGAATCTACATTCTTGTGATTTTCAAAACTAATTTTTTATGCTAAGGCATTAAAAAAAAACCCAAAAATCTATTCATTTAATGATGGTCCCTCAGATAGTCAAAGACTGCTCTCCTGCTCAATCAAAACACAGCTCCTCCTCTAATTACTGCTTTTATGTTGTGGTTTCCAGCTTCTTTCATCATTCCAATTTATTCTCCTGTGAACTCATTCTAGTTTGTCAATGTCCTTCTTAAAATAAAATTACTTTTGTTATCAGTAATTTTATTTTTTCTTAGTATGCTATTCAAATGTCATAAGATTGTAGTAAGACTTAAATTTTCTAAAAAATTTAGAGGTTACTCTTTCTAAGAATAAATTTGTGACCATTCTTTAAGTCTTTAAATTCAGAAATTTGAAAAGATAATTTTGATTAAGCAACAGATACTGTTTTCTGACAGCTGTAATGGTTGTTGGAAGATTGCTTAGATCACATAACTGATTCTATACCTTACAGCTGAAAATTATCTCACTTGCTCTGACCACTTGCTAGGTGAACTCCAAAAGGATTTAAACAAATAGGTAACAAAATACTGTGCTTGTTTTGGTGTGATGAAAAGGTTTACTTTTATAGCTATTACCTGCTAAGGAACTAAACCCAATGTTTAATAATAATAATCAGCTCTTTCCTGGGCTCAACATAAATGTTTTGATGTGGTTGGTACCAGCCTCTGATGAGGGTATCAACCTTCATTTAAAAAACAACCATTAGTTTGAGTTGTCATTACAAACATTTCTAAATTGCTGATAATAACACTCATTACCAAGCAAGAATCGTCCTTTTCAGTCCTTTATATATAACATATCCTCCATTTCAAAAACATTATAATATATTATAGAGTTGCTGACAATAGTTAAGTCTCAAAAGAGGGCAATAAATGCCACAGAAGAAAAAGTAGCAAATAAAATAAAATTATATAGAAATAAATTAGAAGAGGCAGGGGGGCTTGAGCCTCCCTACTTTTGAAAAGGTTTTAGTCTCTCGCACACAATTATGATCATCAAATGTTTGTTAAACGAATGAAAACATTCAGGCATTAGGGATAATTCTACAGCACAGATGACATGTTATAAGCAAAGTAATTGGCTTAACCATAGTATCTGGCAACTTATTTTCAATTTCAATTTTTACTATATTTTCAATTTCAGTATTTTTGAGAACTCAGTATGAGTTAAACTATCATCACTAACAATATTCATATATTTTTCTAACATGGTGTAATTCAATCTCCTATAATCCAAATTTATATTGTAAGTTCCTCCCTCCCTTCCTCCCTCCCTTTCTTCCTTCCTTTCTGATGAAAAATTCACTTGGGCTATTGAGATAGTAGTATTTTAAAATAGCCTATAAATGAGCCATTGGCCCTGGATAGAGGCAGCCATAGCAATGTGTTCAAGCAACAAAATGAACATAAGAAACTTTGGAATGCACCTGGTTGTTAAAAAAATAGCAAGTGGCTTAAAAAAAAAAAAAAAAGAAAGAAAAAAAAGACTAAGGAATTCAAATTTCTCTTTAAGAATTTTGTTGCTATNATTCACTTGGGCTATTGAGATAGTAGTATTTTAAAATAGCCTATAAATGAGCCATTGGCCCTGGATAGAGGCAGCCATAGCAATGTGTTCAAGCAACAAAATGAACATAAGAAACTTTGGAATGCACCTGGTTGTTAAAAAAATAGCAAGTGGCTTAAAAAAAAAAAAAAAAAAAAAAAAAAAAAAGACTAAGGAATTCAAATTTCTCTTTAAGAATTTTGTTGCTATCTTTCCTACAAAAATTACCCAGATTACTTCTTGACCGCTAATTTGAGAGCAGAGGAAGTCTTGCTGTGTGATGTGTGTTAGCTCAGTAGCTCTGAAGCTTCCAGGTACTTTTTTTTTTTTTTTTTTTTT